AAAGCCGTCTCGTGTTTATATGCGCCAAGGAGATAGTGTTGGCCTGTCAGAGGTGTCGTTCAACCCTTAGGTTGCTATTTAATAGTCCACTACCTAACCTTTTCTTCTGCTTTTCAGCTCATTTTGACAAATGCAATTCGCCTATAGATAAGGGAACCTGCGACGACTCAGTACCTCGATATGGCTATGATGCTGCCGCGGGCGTCTGCAAGCCATTTATCTGGGGTGGTTGTGACGGAAATGCAAACAAATATGGTACGCAGGAACAATGTGAAACCGCAACAGCGACTTGCCCAAATAGAGGTACGTCAAACATGTATTTGGAGCTGCAGGAACCCAGGCAGCAACTGTGTTAGCATTATGAGCAGTAGTTCAGAGGGGTTGCAGATAGCAGATAAAATGACCTGGTTGAGGAAGTAGGTGTGACAGCTGAAGAAATAAATTAATTCGGAGAAAATAACAGTACCAGAAAGGCGTAGTTGGCATAAAGTGAGTTGTTGCAGTAGGCATCTGTGGTAGTAATCAGAGGTAGTCATTGAAGAAAGCAGTTAGGGTAGCAATTAAAGTTTAGCTGATCGCCTCGATCCTTAAACAAATCCGTAATACGTCGTGACAAGCCAAAATACGAATTCCTGTCTCAACCAGCCGCTTAAAAGTCTAACGCCATATGAGAATTGAGTTTTGGTCAACACCCATACAATTTGAATATACTCACTTATATCGAGAACAACAATTAACTTCTGAAGTACATTAGAAACCAGAATGTCTGGATCCTTTGCTGGTATCCGTCTAGACGGTGTGGTAAATTGCAAATTCAGTCTCACAGTTGTCAGATTTTACTACTACTAGACAAACAGAATCAATCCTCTCAAACGGTTAACTGCAATGCAAGCCAACATATTAATAATAACTACTTATTTCGTATAAAGTGAAAGGCAGGCATCCCAAGAAATGTAATTTCAAGGAAAGGTGTCCTTTGGGAAAATGAGTACTCATTTTCCCAAAGGACGCCTTTCCTTGAAATGACTACTTAAATAATTTAAGTAAGCATGCCACGGAAATGAATGCTGATGGGGAGGTAGGGGTTAGATATGGGGCCCACTACTTGACCTGCTAAAGGCCATTTTGCTGGTCCATATAGAGCCGATTTCGACATGGATAAAATCCAGGGATTTTTACTAGAAAATCCAAGGTACGTAAAAGTTGGCCAAGCTACGTTCCCAAAAGTCCTAAAATATAAAGTAAACATCCCAATGAAAAAGAAGACCTATTGTGATTTATCAATTAATATTATGAGGTTAAGAATAATTAATGTTTTAGAGGAATAGAAGAAGCAGTTGTGACAGCTGAGCAATGAAATTCCTTCGCAGAACCTTTCAAGTTTCCGAACGAGCGCACCATTTTTCACCGGAGCAGTAGCAGAAACGCCTAATTGGTATTAAATATGTCGCGGGATTAGGCAGGATTGAAAATTATGATAAGTAATTAGGATTTGTCGTTAATGATATCAGTTAGGGTAGATATTTAAGGTAATTATATTGTCTTAACACTTAACCGACTGAGTAATTCAACGTACCAAGCCCAAACAGCAGCTTTAAATATAACGCCATTTGAGAAGGCTGTTTCGGTCTAAGACCCTAGACCTTGAAAAAGTGACCTACAATAAGAATATAAATTGACTTCTGAGGTACATTAAAAAACAAAATGTCAACCAGACAGCAAATAGAGTAAGCTAGATGAGCATGACTCCCCGCAGCTGCGTCAAGCAGCGACAGAATAGCGGCGGCACACCTGTCTGGACTCTAATGGTATCCGGGCATGCGGTGTGGTAAATTGCAAATTCGGTCTCAAAATTGTCAGATTTTAGTGCTCCTAACCAAATTGACTCCAGACTCTCCAAACCGTCGACTGCAATGCAGCTTAACATGGTAATAACCACTTAAATATTTAAGAAAGCATTTAATATTGTTGAAGGGACTGAGGGCTTGCCGAGTAACTCATTCCTTGCATGAAATGTGAGTGGTCGATTGCGGCTTCAAGAAGACTGCTGCTGAGGACGTAGGCGTCCAAAATGGGTACCAACATGTGACGTGTTAGTGGTCACTAAGCTCGTCCATATACGTCTATTGACCTTGCCATTTTTCCCGGTATTCTGATTATTTGCTACCTAGCAGCCATAGATAACGTATATGACAGGCAGCAGTGACTCATGTTGCATTGATTTAATGAAGTTTGTGCGAAAGGGTAAGGAGTCAACTGAAATGTTCGCCAACATCTGTCGTGTGGTCTGCCAGTTGATTTGCTGATTTACTTTCTTTAAAAAAGGAGTTGGCTTTTTCTGGGTGTAACTGGCCCACTTTGCAAGCAGACGTTTTGGAGCCCTAAAGTAGACTGTCGTTCCATAAGAAGGCAATATGAAAATAGAATATATGAATAGTATTTTATGCAGGGCTCACAGCTAGCAGTGTAAGCGCGTTCGTGCTTCTGTACTAGCATTTGCTATTGCTCTATCAAACTATGCACGTGTTAAGAATGATCTGCATACCTCAAGCTGGCACAGGCATAAGCCTTCACTATCGTCACGTACTTCTCCTAAGTAAAGTCGCCTCGAGCTTAAAAGCGTCAGAGGAATAATGTTGGCCGGTCAGATGTGCTGTTCAACCCTTAGCTTGCTCTTCATTAGCCCATTGTCTCTCACTTTCGATTTCTACATTTCAGCTCCCTTCGATAAGTGCAATGCGGCTCTTATAACGGGATACGGCCGAGAAGCGCATCCTCGATTCGGCTACGATGCTGCCACGGGTGCATGCAGGCCATTCATCTGGGGTGGCTCTGGCGGAAACGCAAACAGATTTGAAACACAGAGAGAATGCGAAACTGCAACAGCCTCTTGCTCAGGTAGGTCAAACATGTATTTAGAACTATATGTACCCTGTCAGCGACTGTGGTAGAATTATGAGCAGTAATTCAGGCAGCGAGACATGCCAGATAATGTGACATGGTTGAGTAGAAGTAGGCGTGATATTTTAAAACTTTAATTTATTACAGAATTTTTCATATTTTCAAACGAGCACATAATTTGTTATGCGAGCAGTAGCAGAAGCGCGTAACTGGTATAAAAATAAGTAGTGGTATTAGGTGTGTTTGGAAGTAATTATTTGTAAGCAGGACTAGTCGTGTAAGACAGTAGTTAGGCTAGATGGGTTATGGTACTGTAAGCAGCGCGTGAATCGTGTGGCATCATGGCGCTAGTATTACGAGGACTATTTTGTAGGCACAGGTAGCATGTAAAATGACATGATTAGTAAGCAGGAGGCGGGGTAACTGGAAATTGAAATTTTATTCGCAGCTAGTATCAGGTTTCCGAACCCGCCTTTTATTGTAGGCAAGGGCAGTAGCAGGAACACATTAATCGTACAAAAGTCTTGCGGTGTTATGTATGCTTGGTGGTTATGTTTGATAGTTGGGACTGGTAGTGCGAGATAGCAGATAAACTAGGTATTAATGTTCCGCAGGTCGTCTTGACGCATAACGAACCTACGGTTTCGGACAGAAGGGAGTATGCGAGTTCCAGGAGACAGTTAAGCAGAAGAAAATGGGATAACTGGACACTTTACTGTGGCCGAAATCATTAGCATATCTGCTGGAGTGTGTTGTAACGGCGACAAACGGTGTGCGTGTGTGTGTGTGTTGTATCACTGTCTACTTACGCCCTTTGGAATTCCCAATGATAAAACACACCGAGATAGGCGTAAAAGTGAAGGGCACTCGAATGAGTGTTTATTGTATACCAAACCCCGTGTTGCTCTCTCGGGTGGCATTTGCGCCGCTGGCGTCATTCAGTGCTGAATATCTTGGCTCGCGGGGCGAATCCTGGGGCTGAGGTGGACTGGCCGTGTGCATTACGTGTTGCAATTCACTGTGCGATATGTGACAATTGCTTACAAGTGAGTATCAAGCGGGTTTCTCTGTTGCATGATTGGCGCGTGGATTACTCGACGGATGTCGAGAATTGAGGTCACCTACTGAGTGGAGCGCTTAGGTGTCTCTTGAAGCACTGC